GGGCGCCCACGTCTGGGCGCGGGCCTCAGCGAGTGCCAGAACGGCTTGAGAGGAGAAGCTGCCCTGGGGTGGAGGCCTGGGGCTTTAGGGCTTCCTGCAGGGTCAGAAACCTGCTGCCCGCACTGAGCGGCCCTGGAAGAGCTGGGCGGTGATGTTGTGGGGACCACCACCCATCCCACCCACTCATGGCCCTCTGCCCCCCTGTTCTCATCCGTTTTGGGATTGAGGGCTGTGCTGCTCCGTGACCCGTGCAGTGGCAGCTCCAGAGGAGCAGGCAGCTCCGTCCTCTGGCCCTAAAGCCTGAGGTGGCATTGCTGGGTGCTGGTCGAGGCCCGTGGGAGGAAGCAGTGCCCTGTGCACCTCTGTTTTCCAGCTGTGTAAGCACAGTGAGTTGCGCTTCGGAGACAGCTGGTACCTGCACTGCCTGCTGACCCTCTCCAGGTGCAGCCAAGAGCCAAGAAACCCTTTGGCTTGGGCTGCTGCTAGGTCAGACTTCAGTTTTAAAAATAAAACCATCTCCACTCGAGAGGGGGTCCTGACAAAGACCTTTTCAAAAGTCAAATATGATTATATCAATTACTCAGACAGGCAGAAAGCTTGAACTTGCTGCCCACCAGCATCCCAGATCCCTTGCTGCAAAGCTTCCTCCTGCCCCCAGCCCGTCCTGCTGCATGGGGTTATCCCGTGCCAGAGGAAGGATCTGGCATTTTCTCCGTTCGATGCCAGTCGGGTCCTGCCAGCTCGTTTCTCTGGCCTGCCAGATAAAACACTGTTCTGGTTTTGGCTGGGATAGAGTTAATTTTTTTCCATAGTAGCTCGTATGGGACTATGTTTTGGATTTGTGCCGAAAACAGTGTTGATAACACAGGGATGTTTCCATTACTGCTGAGCCACGTTCAGACAGAGCCACGACCTTCTCTGCCTCTTACCCCACCCCACCAATGAGCAGGCTGGGGCTGCACAAGAAGCTGGGAGGGGACACAGCCGGGACAGCTGATCCCAACTGACCAAAAGGATATTCCATGCCATATGATGCCCAGAGTGACAGGGCTTGTCTTCCCAAGTAACCATTACCCACAGTTGAGCCCTGCTTTCCTGGAGATGGCTGAACACCCACATGATGACGGGAAGGAGTGAATCAGGTGCTGGGGCCGCCAGCTGGCCGCGCTGGTGCCAGTCACGGCCCCGTGCCGGGGCAGGGGGACCTGTGCAGCCCAGAGCTGTGGGGCCCTGCACCCGCAACCAGACCCCGAGAGCTCGGTGGTGATGCTCTATAAAAGCCACTCCATATCCCACCCCCTCCAACCCCCAAGACCCTTTATCATCCTCCCCTTCATCCAGCCCCTTTCAAATCCCAGATCCCCATAAAAATTCTCTTCTGTGTGCCCCGTGTACACCCCCGTGGGCTTCATATCCAGCAGCTCCCACAGCCGGGCTGGGGGCTGCAGGAAACCCACCCACCCAGGGGCAATGCTGGATTGTAACCTACCCCAGGGACAGAGATGTCCTTGGGGTCCTCAGCTCTTACTCATCTGGAGGTCCTCGCGTCCATCACCTCTGCTATTAATAAAGATATCTCCGGGAGGGCTTGGCTGTGCTGTAGGACTTGCATGAGCTGGTCCTCAGCTGGGGTTGTGGGGCTGCGCCGGAGCGTGTCCAGCTGCGCCAGGGCACAGCGTGTGCCCCACGCCTCTTCGTCACGGCATCAAGCTCTGGCTTCCCAAAGCAACGTGGCTCATCTCGTCACGGGCTTTGACATATCTCTGTGGTTATTATCGTCACCACTACCCCAAAAAAAGGTCTCAGAGAGGTTGGTGTCCCCAGATCCTACCAGCCTTGGGGCTCTCCCATACAACACCACCTCCAGCATCTCCCCATCCACCACCAGTACCCAGTGGCCCCAGTTTTCCCACTGTCTTATGTGTCCCATCCCTCACTATAGACCACGTTTCCTCTCTGTGTTTTCCTAAGCTTGGGCTGGGACTTTCTCTGTGTGGCCCTGGAAGGAGATGCTCAGCATGGGCTGCAGCAGGCACTGCACGAACTGCCTGGCTCTGCTCAGCAGTAACGAGATACCAATGAGTCCAGGCGGCACCCAGGGGTGTCCTGGGTATCTGAGCATGATTGGGGGGTAAGATGCAAATCCGAGGCAGGAAGGAACCAGCAGCACAAGGAGCTGTCATTTAATGTGCAAGACTGGCAGCAACAGGCTTAGGGCACCAAATCTGGAGCAAAGAGTCATTTCCAGGAGAATCCTCAGCCGTGCAGGGGCCAGTCAGCAGGAGAAGGGGTGCAGAGAGACACTGTAGGTGGTCTAAGCCTCGGGGAAGATCAGGAAGCCAGAGAAGATGCTGTCGGACCCTTCGATCCCCACCAGGGAGTTCTTCTCCGTTGGCTCTAACCAGACGGACTCGTTTGCTTCCATCTTGAGGACCACACCGCCTGTGGTGACCTGGTAGCTGCTCTGCACGAAGTCGCAGAAGGTCACCACCTTCTCGCCCCTGCTGCCACCCCGGCCCTTTTTCACGCTGAGGCACAGGTTGCCCCTGGAGGTGACGTGGTAGGTGAAGTAGTAGATGCCCGGGACCCTGCAAATGAAGCGGCCGTACCGGTTCTCATAGTGGCCCTTCTCATTGGTGATGATGCGGTCAAAACGGACAGGCTGTTCCCGGCGGGGGTAGGAGGTGGTGGTCCTGGCAGCGGAGAAGGCAGACTTGAGAGTGGCCTTGTAGTCACCAGAGTCCCCCTGAGGGCCAGGGGGTCCCATGAGACCTGGTAATCCCTTTGAACCTGGGGGGCCCTTGGGACCGATCTCCCCAGGGGACCCTGGTGCTCCTGGGTCTCCCTTCTCCCCTAGGTCTGCTTCGTGCTCCACCTGGCCAGGGGGACCTAGAAAGCAGGAGGAAGAGTCGGCGTGGTCGCAGCCGAGCCCCACAGGCCTGCAGAGGGGGCACGGGGAAGGAAACCGCCGGTACCTGCGCTGCGGTGTGGGTCAGTGGAGACCCCTGCCCATCCAGCGGGTGTGACGCCCCTTGCTATCGTGCACCCTCCCTCTCTAGGTTCCTCAGGGTGTTCCGGTCTGTGCAACCCCTTCTGTCCCCGAGCATCAACCCCACCTGATAACACCCTGAAGGGACTCGTGGAAGATGGAGTGCTTTCTCAGGACCATGTGCCTGGCACTGCCTGGTGCTGCACCTCGGCTGGGGCAACCCCTGGTGGCAATCCAGGCTGGGGATGAAGGGGTGGAGAGCAGCCCTGCCGAGAAGGACTTGGGGGTGCTGGGGG